CATACTTCATATTATAAACTAATCACACAGCATGAATTTAACAATAATAATAATAATAATAATAATAATACTAAGACTAATAACAACATGAATGATAATGATAATAATTCAATAGTATAACAATAATAATAATAATAATGATATTGATAATTCAATAACATCAGAGTTTGTGCGTACTTTTGATGAGTTCCATGCCATCCTGTGGTAGCTGCTGGCGACCTCCCCACCCGCTGAGCGTGCACTGTGCCATCACGTCATCTCCAAACACGCAGTGACTCGCCAGGTTCAGTGTCATCTGGCGTGCAGCACGCTCTGGTGGCATGTTTCGCCATCGACCGTGGTTGCTGATGACTGCACCGAGAGGCTTCAGCACTGCAAACGATAAGCACTACGTAAGCACGCTGATATCGACATCGACGTTTAAAAAAATGACTTGAAAGATGACGCGAATCATGAGTCTAAAATTATTGTTTAAGTGATATCCGGAGTCAAAATACATTCAAACACATACAAAAAATTGTTCCGTAAGGTACCCACAGGACCACAGAAAGATCACCATAAGGATAGAAATTACTGCGTAAACTAACTACTGAATTTCCTAAGAGACTCCGCGACGTTACGTCAGCCCGCCCCCTGCATGTCGTCTTAAAATTAATTGCGAATGCAATCGTCGGTTTCAACGTCAATAAGCCATCTATAAGCGATCTAGTAACTAGCATCAAAGTGGTCGCGGTAATGATGAGAGTAATTAAAAATTTTATTCGCCCGTCTGGACCCGCAGCACACTCACGTGGGTAATGGCTGTACAGCGACGTGTCAACGACCACCACTTGGGGGCGCTTCATGCCGCCGCCGCCGCCGCCGCCGCCGCCGTGCGCAGGCATGGGCCTCGCCAACCTGTTGGCGGCATCTACCGGGAGTCTGCCGCCCGCCTGAAGATGCTGCTGTTGCTGCAGGGATGGCTTCCACGATGCCGGCGCCACCTGGAATCGCATAGAAAAGATGATCGTTCAGTTCTCTGACGATTCAATTTGTTCTGATCGGCGGCCGAACGCTGCAGAGTTTCGCGAAGCCGTAATGCGGACGCTAGAGCGCGGTGACTCTAACCGATGATGCAGCCTCGCGGCTTAGCGTAGCATACTGCCACGAAGCCCTTCACAAGGAGGACATTAAAGATAAGTGTGACGTCAAATGAAGATATGCAGCCTCAAGGATACCAACGCAGCATAGACTAATATATCGCGTGACTCACCGCGGGGTTTGCCGGTCCTCTATGCATCGCGGACAGCTGGTGCATCTCCCTGCTCATGGCGGCGGACATGGATGCGTGAGAGAGGGCGCCACCGTGGTGCCGCTGCTGCTGCAGCGGAGCGAGAGACATCTCCGGTCTCATTGGCACCTTGTCGGGAGCGGCGTACGGTGGCGCCATCATCGCCCCGCGATGCTCCAGCCGCGCGCCGCCGCCGCCGCCCGATGCCGCAGGCGGTGCCCCCTGCCTGACCTCGGAGGTCGCATGCACGATCTCAATCTCGGGGGACGGCGCGCGTTGGCGCTTTGCCAGCTGCGGCGTCGCGCCGTCGTCCGGCCGCGCCTCAGCGTCTTTGCTCACGGCTTTCGCGGCTCCGATCTCCGGAGTGGCGCGTATGAACTTGTCTTCTTCCTTCGCGGGTTGGCCGACCGGCAGAGAGGTCACGACCTGCGATCGAGACAAGAGAACGTTACTCAAGGGCAAAATAATAGGACATTCTAATATTATAATTATTCTAAGACATAATATTCGTCCTATCATTATTATTAATTATAATTATGATTAGTTATTTAAGTTTGTTATATTCTGTTAAGTACAAGAATACAAGTATTATACAAGGATTATATCAATAGTACATAATGGGAGATCCCCCAGGGGATATATAAGTATATTACATTATGTATTAAGTAAAGATGTGGAAACTCTCGACCAGCAATGTTTTACCATCTCCATGCAGCAGTGATCACACATGAGCTGGGAGCATGCACAACGTGTGTGGCTGACAATAGCAAAGCTGCACTCTGACAATAGGGACGTATAGGGGAACCCTAACCCTGAGCTCTGCACGACGCACGCACGTCCATGCAACATTGTCCCAACCTTCCTGTTATGGTATGACCCTCTTGTTATGGTATGACCCTCTTGTTATGGTATGACCCTCTTGTTATGGTATGGCCCTTTTGTTATGGTATGACCCTCTTGTTATGGTATGACCCTCTTGTTATGGTACTTGTTACGGTATGGCCCTCCTGTTATACATTGACCTCCCTGTTATGTTGGTATGTTGGTAATGCGGCAAAAGGCCGTAGCTAGGTGGGGGGGGGGGGCACAGAGGCAGTTTCCCCCCCAGAAAAAAATAGATACAATAGATGGTCAAAGGCGTTCACCTTCCCAGAACACACCATGTATATGGCCTTGCCCCCCCCCCCAGGAAAAATAGATTAGCTACGCTTCTGGTGACCTTCCTGTTATGTTGGTACGTTGGTCATGCGGTAAACGCACGGTTACCGCTGGCTTCATACCTGCTCGTCGGCTGCCGGCATGCCGAGGAAACGATTTGCGAGCAGGTTGAGGGTTGCCTGCATGCCGTTCAGCTGCCTCATGATGATCTCTTGTCCGGCAGCAAGCGTCTCCAGCGACAGCTGCGGGCGAAAACACAACGTAATGTGACGTCTGTCAGCATATCGTGTTGATGTATCGTGTCGACGTATCGTGTCGGCGTATCGTGTTGATGTATCGTGTTGACGTATCGTGTCGGCGTATCGTGTCGACGTATCGTGTCGGCGTATCGTGTTGATGTATCGTGTCGACGTATCGTGTCGGCGTATCGTGTCAACGTATCGTGCTGGCGTATCGTGCTGGCGTATCGTGCTGGCGTATCGTGTCGACGTATCGTGTCGACGTATCGTGTCGACGTATCGTGTCGGCGTATCGTGTCGACGTATCGTGTCGACGTATCGTGTCGACGTATCGGGACAACGTATCGGTGCTGCGTAACGTGTCGCGTATCGTGGTCGACGTATTCGTTCGGCGTATCGTGTCGACCTATCGTGCTGCGTATCCGTGTCGAGTCAATCGTGTCGGCAGTATTCGTGTCGAGTTCGCGGGGGGCTGGCGTACGTGGTCGACGTATGACGTGTCGACGTATCATGTCGGCGTAAAACGTTCGCGTATCGTGTTGATGCGGTATGTGTCGACTAGTCGTTGGCGTCTCGTGTCGACGTATCGGTGTCGCGTATGTGTCGCGTAATCGTGTCGACGTATCCGTGTCGACCGTATCATGTCGGCATAAGCATCAACAACGTCATCATGTTGTCACGGTCAATCATTTAGAAGCATAATTATGATAAATTTTTCATCTTAATATCGGGATAAAACCTTCCCATCTTGATGTATTATAATATACTGGCGAAGGTAAGCTTACTTCACACTACAGAAGAACACTGATTGAACGTTAAACGTCTTACCTTTGACTGATGAGGCGTCTCTTGCTTCAACTCGCTCTTCGAATCTTCGTCCTCATCGAGTTTGAAATCATCGTTCATGTCAATATCTTCGAAAATCTCCCTCTATGGAGGCTTCATCGACCATCTTACTCTCCCCATCATCGACATACTGTCTGCCCGCATCATCATCCTCCTCCTCATCCTCCTCCTCATCCTCATCATCATCATCTCACCATGCACCCTGTGCGCGAGCCTGAAAGGAAAAATCAGACTGTAGGGAGAACAGGCTTGGCCCGTCGGCCGCCGCACAGGGTAGCACACCTCGTCAACTTCCGTCGCCGCGTGAAGACGTGATGAGAGGAAGAGGAGGTTGTAGCAATCTCGCTCCGCGCACCAGGGCCGCTGCCCACTCTTGCCCCCTACCCCCGGGCCGCCCCCGCGCCCCCTGCGCCCGCCCCATTAATTCACCACACGTCCGCATGCTAGTACGCGGTAGCTATAACTGCTATCGTTCCTGCCGCTAGTACAACGATAGTACGAAGGTAGTGCGGGGGTAGTAAGGAGCTAGTACGGAGGTAGCTACTACACTCTACTGTGTCTGCCGCTAGTACAACGATAGTACGAGAGTAGTGGTCGGGCGTAGAAAGGAGCTAGTAGGAGGTAACTACTACATCTCTACTGTGTCTGCCGCTAGTAACAGTTACGTATAGTAGGAGTAGTGCGGGGGTAGTAAGAGCTAGTACGGAGGTAGTACAAAGCTTACAAAGGTAGTACGGAGATAGTGTGGGAATTAGCAAGGAGGTAGTATGGAGGTAGTGCTGAGGTAGTGCGGAGGTAGTTGCGGAGCGTAGTGGCGGAGGTAGTACGGTAGTTGCAGAGGTAAGTGCAGAGTAGTACAGAGGTAGTGCAGAGGTAGTGGCGGAGGTAGTGCGGAGGTAGTGGGAGGTGCACGGGTAGTGCAGAGGTCACGTGCGACAGTAGTACGGAGTAGTGCTGAGGTGGGCGGAGGTAGTGCGGAACGGTCAGTACGGGAGGTAGTGCAGAGGTGTGCAGAGTCAGTGCCAGAGGAGTCACAGAGGTTAGTGCGTGAGGTAGTGCGGAGTAGTGCGGAGGTAAGTGCGGCGGTAGCACGGAGGTAGACCGCAAGCGTAGTGCGAACGGTAGTATGGAGGTGGAGTACTGGGGGTAGTGAAGGAGCTAGTACCGGAGTACCTACTAACACGCTAAACTGTGTCTGCCGCTAGTACACACGATAGTTACGAAGGTAGTGCGGGGGTAGAAGGAGCTAGTACGCAGGTAGCTACTACACTCTACTGTGTCTGCCGCTAGTACAACGATAGTACGAAGGTAGTGCGGGGGTAGTAAGGAGCTAGTACGGAGGTAGTACAAAGCTTACAAAGGTAGTACGGAGATAGTGTGGGAATTAGCAAGGAGGTAGTACGGAGGTAGTGCTGAGGTAGTGCGGAGGTAGTGCGGAGGTAGTGCGGAGGTAGTACGGAGGTAGTGCAGAGGTAGTGCGGAGGTAGTACAGAGGTAGTGCAGAGGTAGTGGCGGAAGGTATGCGAGTAGTGCGGAAGGTAGTGCGGAGGTAGTGCAGAGGTAGTGCGGAGGTAGTACGGAGGTAGTGCGGAGGTAGTACGGAGGTAGTGCGGAGGTAGTACGGAGGTAGTGGCACGAGGTAGTGGCAGAGGTAGGTTGCAGAGGTAGTACAAGGTAGTGCGGAGGTAGTGCGGAGGTAGCGGAGGTAGTCGGAGGTAGGACCGGAAAGGTTTTAAAAATGCAGAGGTAGTCGCGAAGGTAGTATGAGGTAGTACGGAGTAGTGTGGAGTAGTAAGGAGGTAGTTACGCGAGGTATGCGGAGGTAGGCAGAGGGTAGTGTGGAGTAGTCAAATTGTATACGGAGGTAGTGCAAGGTACGTACTAGGTAGATACCACTCTCTGCAGTGTTGCTATCGCGCTCTGAATTTTGCAGCAGTGCTTCATTTTAAAGGTAGCCACCACTGGCGTTGTTTGCTACGTCTCTATTGGAGGTCGTCGCTTCGAACGAGCCTTCGTTCTCCACAGCAGGTGATCTAGCGGGTGATCAATCTAGATTGAGGCAGTCCCTCATGCATTTACTGTAGTCAGAGCGAGGGGAGGCATGGAAACCTGCATTCTTTCCTAACGCGCGTCTCGGAAGCCACGTGGTGCAGCTAGTAGGAAGTCAACCTCGGTCCTTAATCACAGTTCTCTGCTGTGTCTGTGTACGCGTTAAGATAGCGTGTTATTGCTAACGTGTTTTCAGGTGAACAAGTTTCAGGTATGCCAAAGTTGATCAGCGCACCTGCAGTTGTTGTTACCGGTGGCCGCAAACGACGAGAAATATCGATGTAATGTAAGTAGATCATGTTTGCGAGCTGCGTGTAACGAATAAACTAATAACCGATGCGATATTTATTAATCGACACGTTTATTAGAATAAATGCTCACGATAACACACCGACCGAAACTATCGATACCTTCGAAAATTCACAAAACGAACAAGCCGACAGATTTGTTGACCGGCACTAAAATACGCAATAAATTCGACGCACAAGCTTTAATAAATTATGTACAGTTACAACTAAAAGTTTCGTCGTCGCTACCCACGATGAATGATTGTCGACAGCAGCTGGCGTCACACGTATTTGACTGCTGCCTATCTATGAGATACTAGTGGTACTACCGCTGGGCCTGCACCGTCTCCTGCACCGCTGCCGTGCACAGTCCCGTGCTACCGCTGCCGCCACCGTCCCTGCTACCGCTGGCACTGCATCCGTCCCTGCTACCGCTGCATGCATCGTCCTAGCTACCTCTGCCTGCGAACCGTCCCTGCTACCCGCTGCCTGCAGCCGTCCCTGCTACCGGCGCCTCATCGTCCCTCTACCGCTGCTGCACCAGTCCTGCTAGCGCTGCCTGCACTCGTCCTGCTAACCGCTGCCTTCACCGTCCGCTGCTACCGCTGCCTTGCATCGTCCCTAGCTCCGCTGCCTGCAATCGTCCCCTGCTACCGCTGCCTGCACGTCCTGCCTACCGGGCTGGCCTGCACCGTCCCTGCTAACCGCGCTGCATCGTCCCTGCTACCGCTGCCTGCACCGTCCCTGCTACCGCTGCCTGCACCGTCCCTGCTACCGCTGCCTGCACCGTCCCTGCTACATCCGCTGCCTGCATTCGTCCGCTGCTACCGGCGCCTGCACCGTCCCTGCTCACCGCTGCGTGTCATCGCCGTCCCTGCTACCGCTGCCTGCACCGTCCCTGCTACCGCTGCCTGCACCGTCCCTGCTACCGCTGCTGCATCGTCCCTGCTACGCTGCCTGCTACCGGCTGCCTGCACCCGTCCTGCTACAGCGCCTGCAATCGTCCCTGCTACGCTGCCCTGCACGTCCTGCTAACCATGGCTGCTGCACCGTCCCTGTACCGCTGCCTGCACCGTCCCTGCTAAACTGCTGCTGCATCGTCCCTGTTACTACGCTGCCTGCATCGTCCCTCTGCTACAGCTGCCTGTCATCGTCCCTGCTTACCGCTGCTGCACCCGTCCCTGCAACCGGCTGCTGCACCGTCCCTGCTACACGCTGCCATATCCGTCCCCTGCTACCGCTGCCTGCATCGTCGCCTGTACGTGCCTGCAATCGTCCCTGCTCCGCTGCCTGCACCGCCCTGTTACCGCCGGCATGCCTCACCGTCCTGCACCTGCTGCACCGTCCCTGCTACCCGCTGCCTGCACCGTCCTGCCTTACGCTGCCTGCACCGTCCTGCTACCGCTGCTGCACTCCCCTGCTACCGAGGCTGCTGCACCGTCCCTTTACCGCTGCCGCGCTGCCTGCACCGGTCCCTGTTACGCTGCTGGACAAACCGTCCCTGCTACCCGCCTGCTGCACCGTCCCTGCTACCCGCTGCATGCCGACCGTCCCTGCATACCCCTTGCCTGCACCGCCCTGGGCTTACCGGCTGCTGCACCGTCCCTGCACCGCTGCCTGCACCGTCCCTGTTACCCGCTGCGCCTGCACCGTCCTGTTAAACAGCCTGCCTGCATCGTCCCCGTCCGGATCGTACATGCTGCCTGCATCGTCCTCCGCTACCGCTGCCCTGCAGCCCGTCCGCTGCTACCCGCTGCTGCTAACCCGCTGCCTGCTACGCTGCCAACACACATATGCCGTGTTGGAACACATCATCAACACACAACAAGCTGTGGGGCCGGCGGCAAACCGTGCAACGTTGCAGCAGTCGTTGTGCGACGAACAACCGTGCGAATGTTGCGAATGTTGTGCAATGTTGCAAGAAAACAGAGGCGAATCACTACTGCTACTGAGACACAACAGACTACACATAACGCGCTACTGCTGGTGCTGTTGCCTGCTGCCTGCTAACTGCTGCTGCTGCTATGCCTGCTGCTCACGCTGCTGCTGCTGCTGCTCAAGCTGAGTCTACACATAACTGCTACTGCTAGCCTGCTCTGCTGCTGGTTGCTGCTCGCTGCTGCTGGTCACTCACACAACGTCTTAAGTTTCACGATTTCTTCTGCACCATCGTCGCGTTCCTGCACTTGGAGTTGACGGCCTTGTGTATGTCGCTGACGGCCCCCGGCTGTTCGCGGAACCCGGGGAATCGTTGCTCGACGAAGCTGTCTATGAGACGCATGCGCTGCGGGTCAAGCTGCCCTCGCCTGATCAGCTGCCCCTTGAACGACAGTATGCCTCCCTTCACGTTGTTCCCCGCGAGCTCCTCCTTGCTGAACAGCAGGTCGATCAGCTTGAGGACAAAGTGTTTCGGTGATTCTACGTCGCGCCCGATGCAGCGTACCTGAGTAAGAAGCACCTCGCTGTCGATGCTCACCTTCACCTGCTGCTGCTGCTGCTGTGCGGCTGCAGCCGCGCGGCGACGAGCACGCACGGGCAGCGTCACGCTCACGCGCCCCGCCGCCGCCGCCGCGCGCCGCGACGTAGATGGCAGCACCGCGGGCGACGGCTCGATGGCGGCGGGCCAGCGCGAGTTCGGGTACGGCGCTGCAGCGGCGGCATTGACCTGCCACCTGGGGGCGAGCGAGGGCGGCGGCGGCGGCAGGGAGGGGTTGGGGGCGGCGAGGCTGTGAGCTGACACCAGCTGTATGTTTGGCGATGCGCGAGCGCCGTAGTACCCGCCGTCGACGACAGGGGGCGCCATTGCA